TGAAGAAATGGGGGTGTTGGTTCCCCTTCTTGGAGGGTTTGGGGGCAACCACGCAGACATGGAGGGCCCCTGAGAGAGCAACAGGGGCCATTTTCAGGGGGCCAAGCCCATATGGGCCCTAGACCCTTTTCCTTATGAGCCAGGAGTTTCCCCCTTTTGGGGGCAATGGATGGAGGGACAGAGGCCAGGGAACCCCTTGCCATCCCCTATTCCTTTGGGGAGCAGAAGAACTGGGGAAGGGCCCCTCAGTTGGCTTCTCTCAAGCAAAAGGAGGTTGTGGGGACTGGACTCTCTATACTTTTTAGAGGGGGAACCAGAGCCCCCATCCTCATGATGTGCGAATGCAAAAATCTCAATGGGGGTCTGATCAGGGGACCCCAAGGCAGATGTGGGGGAGGAGGAATGGGGCTTTTCCTGAGGAAAAAGCTTCTGAGGAGTCTCTCTTGGGGGGCTTGGCATGGGGGTTGGGGGTCCCCTCTGCCTCTTGCCCCCCTTCTGGCCTTTTGTCTCTGTGTTGAGCCTCCAGACGGAGGACTTTGGGCTCTGTCCAAGGCCAAGATGGCGCTGCTTGTTTTGCCTTTTGCCCACAAGACTTTGGGGGAGGGAGAAGATGGAGGGAAACCGGGGAGGATTTCAAGTGGGGGGCAGCTGGGTCTGGAGACCCTCAAGGTCCAATTTGGCGGCAGAATGAGGAGCTTCATGGGGGAAAATGTATTTCTTTCATTTTCCAACCATTATTCATCCCTTTTCTCGCTCTCTCCCTCCTCCGTCAAAGTCCCTGCAGGGAGGGGTCTCTCTCTCTCCTGAGGACTCCCCAAACCATCTTCCTCTCCCTCCTTCAGGCCTTCACACCTGGCAGTGGATGTGCGGCTGTGAGCTCAGGGAAGACGGGAGCAAAGGAGGGTTTTCTCGCTATGGATACGATGGGAGGACTTTCATCACCTTTGACAAGGAGACCCTCACCTGGGTGGCTGCCAACCCCCAGGGCGAGATCACCAAGAAGAAATGGGATGCGATTCCAGGATATAATCAGGGATGGAAGATCTACCTGGAAGAGGAATGCATTGAGTGGCTGGAGAAGTACCTGTCCTACGGGAAGGAGATGCTGCTAAGGACAGGTGAGCATCTGGGCCCAGGCTGCACTTTCCTCCTTTATGGCCGGATTTCTTGCACACATTCGGCCCCCTTTGGGCCCCTGGTCTGAAGCCTGGATGCCCGGGAGGGAATCCCCCTCCTCCCCCTCCTGCCTCTCCCAGGCGCGGGAAGCCCTGCTTAGTTCCCATTGCCAGGCAGCCATTACATGGACCAGGAACCGCAGCCTTTGCCCTCCCAAGCCATAGGTGTGGCTGGCCAGAATCGAGGGCTTGGCGGGTGTCTGTGTGGGTCAGGCAGCAAAAGCACTT